TACAGACTTCTCTGGCCGCAAAATTTAGGTTTGACTTGCAGCCTGAGAATTGACTTACAGACCAGAAAAAAACCAAAGTGGAACAAAAACGGCCTGTTACGGGATTAATCGGTTTTCAATGCACTGTAGGTCAATGGAGACTTGACTTACGGACTTTTGACTTGGGAACCACCTTCCAATACGGATTAAGTTCTCAAGTCAAGACCCCACTGTACTTTGGCCATCTCATGAGAAGAGAAGACTCCCTGGAAAAGCCCCTGATGTTGGGAAAGTGTGAGGGCAAGAGGAGAAGGGAACGACAGAGGACGAGATAGTTGGACAGGGTCATCAATACTACCAACATGAATTTGACCCAACTCCAGAAGGCAGTGGAAGACAGGAGGGCCTGGTGTGCACTGGTCCATGGGGTCATGAAGAGTTGGACATGACTTAACGACTAAACAACAACAAAAAAGTAAAGGAGGAGGAGAGCTATGTGTGTTATGTTGAGCTGTATAGGAGAAAAGGTAGGATATGAAATGTGACTAATAAAATATGAATGAATGAATGAATGAATGAATGAATGAATGAATGAATGAATGAATGAATGAATGAATGAATGAGGCAGCAGTTTTAGTCCTTGAATCTCATGGTTTTATTTGTGAATAATGAGAGCTCGGAATTAAGTGGCTGTATGTACAATCTGGAACCACTGAAAGTGCTGAGATTAATAGGTAACACATGTGAATATTTGAAGAGATAAATATTTAACGTTATAGAAACCAACTCCCAATATGTATAAGACAGAAATCCCTCTATAAGACAGAAACAATAATATAAACAAAACTTGCACAACCAAACATTATTTTGCGAAACTGGTTTATGAAACCCTAATAGAAAAAAGGGTTGTGAATAACCAAAATGTCATCATGCAGTAATAGGAATTAATGATTTGAATAGAAATATCTCTAAGGAATAATGGAAAAGTATGCTAAGAATTGATCACTGGATGCCTTCTGAATTCAAAGCATGTGCTCTACTACTCAGTAGTGTCCCTTCACAAGTAGATCACCAACAGGTGTATGTATGTATGTATGTATGTATGTATGTATGTATGTATGTATGTATGTATGTATGTATGTATGTATGTATGTATGTATGTATGTATGTATGTATGTATATTGAAAAGGGATAAATCCAGTAATGTTGTATAAAATGCACTCTCGATTTATTCGTTCATTAGTGTCTTAAAACTGTCCAATCAACTCACAAAAGGTGTACTGCTTATAATTTACATATTATTCCTTCTCTTGCTATAATGCACTCAGCCCAAAGGGGCTAATACACGATCAGTATTAGCACTTTTTTGTTTTGTAAATTAATCTGAATCACCTGGCAAATAATTACAGTCCTCTCTTCCAAATCTATTATCTTACAGCTTAAATTTGAGCAGATGGCTGGCTTGAGGGCATATTTAATTCCAGGTATGGAATTAACTGAGGAATTCCTATATTAGAAACAGAAAACCTTGTATTCATGTTGAAGGGATTACAAATCTTTTCTTCCATTCTACT